CCGATCACAATAACAAAGATAATCCGACGTTCAACATACCTCCGGCAAATTTGTGCCAAATCCCTAAAACCCCACTAGCCGCCTGACCCCCGAAAATCTCAAACCGATGTGCCTGGCTTGTACGAGGAATCCCTCCGCGTGAAAAATAAAACCTCCCCCAATCCCAATATTACATATTCCCATTAGCCATTAGGGTTGTATGGGGAAGATTTATATTGATGGGTAGGGGGGGGTTTTATATTAGGGGGAAGGGATTGATCGGGAGGAAACCTGAACCCAAGAAGTCCAACTCGAAAGTAGCGGTGATTTTGCCTTTGCCGGTGGAGGTCTTGACATATAAATTAGGTTCAGCATGGCGCAACGGTTTCGCTGCCTACCATGGCAAACACTACAGGCTGCTTGTTGCAGAACATTGCCCGACAATTTTTGTCAGGACCAATGACAACCGTCTTCGGCTGTCAAGAAAACCCAATGCTTTAGCCAAACGTGGCCGCAATAGAATTCGAGTTCGGCCTAGGCGCTAACCGAGAAGAGCCATCAATCTGAGAAAGGAATGGCGGTACTGGCCTCCGAGCGTGTGCAGTAGCTCGCGCAAGCATGCAGGCGATCAGCAAGCATAAGCAAAGCCATCAAAACACGTCCCTGCAAGGCGATAAGGCAGGAACGCTGAAGCACCACTAAGGAGATTCAGCCGTGCCGTAAGGTCATCCACCTGCAAATGAGCGAGGTCGCTGTATCGACTGCTAAATCTTGCCTGGAACTTTAAGTGAGTTTAAGTAGTTGCAATCAGAACCGGGTCCTTTTGATTTTGTATATACCCTCAACGACAAGGAGCACCCTATTCTTGTACTCAAGGTCAAGAGTGGAGGCCAAACGACCAGAGAACATCACAACCCCGAGGGCAAACTCGCATCTCAATGCGTCTGCGATGCGTGAAGTGCAGACGGCAGCCTAGGACCACTAGTTGCCAAAAGCAAACATGGCAGCAATGATCGCCTTGGAATTGAGGCTCTCCACTTCCTTCGGACCCAGGAAGCTGCCAGTACCATGTGGGCCAGCTGTTTCAGCAGCCTATTGTGTGCAAGTTTGGCCTTCTCCACCTTGAAGACCTCCTCTTCCTCGTCCTCATCTTTTGGGATGAACCTCAAACCACTCGCACGTTCTGTTGCCATGTTCGGCCGAGGCTGAGAAACCAAACAGACAACAGCAAAGCCCTGCCCTTGGGTTGCCACTCATGCTCAAGTCTTGTGATGTCAATGCCAGGAAGCCCAAAGCATCTCGTGTGCTTATCTTTTCCGTCCATCTCGCAGAAAAGGAGCAGCTGGAAGAATTGCGGTATCAGGAGCACGAAGACGAAACCGACCTTCAGACTAAACGCTGGCCGAACACCACTAGTCACTAGAACAACAACGACGTCGGACGTCTCCCGCTAGACATACTCGCGTGGCCGAACCAAATGTCTACCAAGGCACTACGTTGGCTGCCTTAGTCTCCAAGACTTGCTGGGTTCCAGGGAGCACTGCGCAACTGCGACCCCGCACGCAACATGCCAGGTAAGGACACTTTGCCAACACAGCCGGCAACATGCATTGTGCCACCCTACCATGTCATGTTCTTCTGCCGTGGTGCTTTTCCGCACACTAATTATCGGATCTGCGTACTTGGGTTTGGGGGACACGAATCTCTACCCTTTTCATAACTCTTCCTGCCACGAAGGCGAGCCGCCAAGAACAAGGGTCGCTCTCTCGCAAGCTGCCACATGTCTTTGCTCGTGATGGAACGGAACTGTTCGCTGCAGTAGCCGCCCACATCTGGGTTGCAGGTCTTGTTCCTCAGCATGCACACAGTATTTTGGCTTCATACATTTCATACTTCATTACGGACCAGACAGTCACTCAGAAACCTAAATAGACTGCAGCTTCAATGCTCATGCCTGCTTCGAGCACCGTGCTGGCCGTTGCAGGCAAGAGTCAGCAAGCCATTTGGATGGGCGTACCTTACGCAGCACAGTCCGACAAGCGCACGCAGCATGTCCAGGCTCCGATATGCCAAGCAACAAGCTCATCACTCCTCAGACGGACTCAGACGGTCGTATACGCAGCTGATCCGAGAGAACTGCTGTCTCAATCAACAAATACAGGCTGACGAAGCTGAGAAGATCCCCAGTGACGTCATCCAACGACGACGAGGCTCGCAAGATCCCGCGTGTCAGATGGCCGAGGGTTGTGTCCTCTTGAGTCAAGTGCCAAATGGTGCACATGTCTCCTGGGCTGGGCCGCGGGGCATCTGCTGGGATAACGGGAAGTTACATATACCCGCAAAAACACAAGAAAGTAGAAAGGAAGGTTTAACTAGAAAATGGAGGACAGCGCGTCGCATCAGATTTCCCTGCCAAGCCCGATTTGCGAGATGAGGCTCGTGCCACGGGGAGTGTGTCGGTCTTCAGAGAGTACAGCATAACCTTAAAAGCTTGATTGAGACTTTCGAAACCACTTCAAGGGACACGGAAAGCCCTGCGGATGAATAGATGCGTTCAACACCGGTCTTGTGGAATTGAAGCCAGCTGTTCAGCTTGATCCCCCTCTGCAGGAAGAATGGTGTAGGTCCCCCTTGCACCAGGTATCGCTAATGCGAACAGTTTGGCAAGACCACGAAGTTCAAGGAGCCCCCCCCCCCCGGAAGAAGGGGGCGGAAAGGCTCTGAATCGCTTCGGAAGCGAACTGAACTTCAAGTCTCGCTCCGCAAGTTCTTTCGCACAAACACCGCTCTTGGGATTTCGACTCTCACAATTAGCGAGGCTCATTCCAGGCCCTGTGGGTTTAGGTTTCGGAACTGGGACGAGTGGTGGGGCTATGGCGTTGGCGTGCCACGATCATGTGTCCGGCTAAGGATGCGGCAAGGATTTGTCGGATATAGGCGAACATGAATATAGCGCACCTTGGCCGGGCGTTGCAAGCTACCAAAAAAAGTATGTGCAGGCTGCACCATGCATAGGGAAATCTTGCACTATTGGCGCGCTTACTCGGCACTGCCTTTCAACTGTAAAGGGGAGGGCTCCGCAGCTAAACCCTATTCTGAGCGCTTCTGAGCCTTGGGGGCCGGCACAAGGAGTGCCTCCACTGCACTGCCACCTTCAGCTCTTCGAAGGCAATGGCAGGTTTTGAAAAACTCCCAGTCCTCCCAGGCCTCAAAGGGTTTGAAGGGCGCATCTCAAAGCCACTCTGAGCCACGCCGGCTCGCACGAGACAGTCGGCAGGACCGAGAAACCCGATGCTCCCGCCTCTCGCTTCAGTTTGCTTCCCTGGCACGAGCAAGCATGAGAATTCGCCTGAAACCGTCTGGAGTCTGAACACTTTACCCCTGGTTCCTAGCAGGGAATGAGGGAGTTAGGGCTCTATATAGATACACCCTTGGAGGGATTTGATAGGGTACCTCATTCCCTCATTCCCTACTAAGAACCAGCCAGTTTGGGAATCTCGAGCTCCGAATCAAAGCTCCATCTCTGAAGGGCCGGAAGAGCCTCGGAAGAGCGCCTTCTTTCCTGCTCTTTCTCCGACAAGATCTTCAACTCCCGCATGCCCTCCTTGTACTCTATTCCAAATACCTCAGTGGGCTGACCTCAAGCCCCCAAGCCACGGCAAAGTGTTGCGCGTGGCGGTGTGGCCCTACTTACTACTTTTTGTCAGCACTCATCTGTCCAGAGCGCGTGTTACCTTCAGATTCTTGAGATTCAAATGCTGTGCGTCACACCAACTCTCAGTGCTCCCAGGTTGCGCTCTTTGCAACTTCCCATAGCCTGAGGGAGCCAAATTCGTAGAGCCAGCATTCGACTCGATGCTGCGAGTTGTCGTTATGGATAAGGCTCAAAACTAAGCCAGGCTAGGACATGCCATGCATATTACTTGCATGAAGGTTCTGTGCCCAACTGCCATAACTCAGGGTGCTGTTTCGAGTGGTGCATTGCTATCGAGCTTTTTGCGCAGCCCCACCTAAAGAAAGCTCTACCGGGACCACTGCAGAAGATGACTGCGGAGGGCCCAACTTATGACTGACAGGCTTGGGAAATTATTTGGGATGTTCCCCCTTCTACTAACAGTCCTTAATAGGGGATGGGGGGTACTATAATCCCTTTTAAGGACTGTTAGTATGAGGGTGAACATCCCAAGCTTGTGACCGCCTCACACCATTGGCACAATTTCAGATTTGCAGAGGGCGCTAAGTAGCCCGGACTTTGACGGGATTAAATTATGGCGTGGCGGCTCACATGGAATGTCAGCCTTGTCTTAGGTTTCTACACTCGCTATGTGATTGCCTTATGCTCGCAATAGTAGCGGTAAACTCAGCGTCTGATCTGTCTCTCTACATAGAAAATCTATACATATATACACACATATATATATATGAAAAGATTTTCTATGTATAGACCCAGATCAGAGCGTACGCGGACTATACGCAAACATACGTTCCATTACATGTATAAACGGACAAAAGGATGCACAAATAGTTTGCTGGGTTTGCACTCTCGAAGACGTGTGTAAAGACAGAGGGCGATTGCTGGTGAATTTGCAGATAATTTTCGAGTTGCAGCTTGGGAGTACGATGAGGATGTCGGTCTTGGGGATACTCCCGTAACATCACGTTCGCCAGCGGATGTTCCCGCCAGTGCAGATTGATGGTGAATGGTGTAGGCTTCAGTGTCGTAGGGTGCGGAGATTAGGGCAGCAGGTGCTTTTTGCTCCTTCATCTCAAGGTGCAGTGATGCCTATTCCGCAAGCGGATGTTCATCTGACGAAAGACTCGAAGAACTCACGGCCCTCACGCCCGCGGGAGTTCGCAGGTTCTAAACTTCGAACACCGGCATGGCGTATCTGGGAAACCGACGTATCGACCATCTGCCCGCGTTGCACATGTGCGATGTCCGCGTGCGGAGACTGTGAACACTGGTCCCTGATGCACAGGAACATCACACTCCCCGTACATGTTCAGAGCAGCTCTCCGTCTGCTTTCACTGCGAAGGTATGCTGCTCACCCGCTGATACTCCCACCACGGGCCCAAGATCCAATGGCACATCGGATTGCCCTTTCTCGTCGTCTCCGAAGCAGACCAGTTGACCATCTGCCCTCACAGTGCAGGTGTGACATCCGCCTGTTGAGACCGTCAACACTGGTCCCAAATCCACCGGAACATCACGTTGCCCGTGCCCGTTACCTCCAAAACCAAACAGCCGACCATTTGCTTTAACGGCGCACCCCCCTCCTGTTGAGACTGTCAAGACTGGTCCCAAATGCGGAGGCACAGTGCATTGAAGCACACCAGCTCACCATCTGCCTGGATTACACAGTTGTGATGAGTGCTGGCGGAGGCTTGAGATTTCCCGTCCATCACCAATAAGGACTGTATGGCATACAAGTCCATCTTCATCTGCAGTCGTGCGGTATAGGGAAAGCAGCTGACATGGTCAGACCAGAGCAGGTCATGATCTGGAAAGTCCAATAAGGGCAGGCAACAGCCGGACCGGATCGGTACAAAACAACGCCATGTCCAAGACGTCCAGGCCAGTACAGAAAGTGCTAAGCAAATCACGAAACCTTCAGGAGTCCACCTTCATGGCTGTGAAAAGGTCTGATTCCGGACTGCTTACAAAATAACATGTCTGCTGCAATTCTTTACGCAAAGCAAAAAGGGTTCCATACTTTGCTGCGCTATGGTTCATGGATGCGCATGGCCCTATGGCAAAGACTTCACAGCTGCGCGCGCGGCCCAGAGAAGCAGCTTTGAGCTGTACGAACGCATCACCTGAAGACCTACCCGAGTGAAACCAGAACCCGTGTCGGCATGTCGGCGTTTAACTGTGGCTTCAGGCATGTGATCGGTTGATGCCATGGTGCTGCACTACTGTAGGCGGCAGTCCGGGACTACCGTCTAAAGGAAGGCTCTGGGACTACCTTCTAGAGCTCGACCTCTAGACTCTAGACGATACCAAGATGATTCAGGGGTCTACAACAAATCCTGCACAATGGCTTAGCGGGTAGGCTTGCCAGGACAAGTGTCTTATTGTCCAGGTCGATGAGGAAGGTCAAGGCCAAGCTATTGAAAAGCGTGTCCTGCACGAAGCCGTATTCATCCCATGCGCATTCTAGGACATGAAGGATGCCCGCTTGTGCTGACTCTGGCGTCCTGCACGGTGTCACACATAAGAACGACACTGACAGAATCTACCAGGACCTGAACGGCAAAGCTGCCACAGTACCGCGGACGAGTTGCAAAGCAAATCGACATGTGCTTTGCAGCTGTAAGTGTAACAGCAACCATTGCCAAACACAAGCAAGCCTCTGCAACCCCTGCGGAACATGTGAAAGCTGGGGCCGCATGTTGAGCCAGTTACTAAGCCTCTCATGTGGTGCCCGGTGCCCCTTCTCTCCGTGCCTGCCTTACATCAGACATCACCCAGTAGCAACAGATCAGCAAGCAACTCCGCAACACCACAGAGGGGAGGTTCCCAAAGCAGACCCATGCTAACCATTGTGGGGGTGGCGACATGAGAAGGACACGGGGAGTGTGCGGGAGCGGGACGTTCTGGTGGCACGACTATGAATCGGAGCAGTGCGCGTGCTTGGCCCTCAGTTTGTAGATGCATCCGAGCGACTATGTAGCCGATGGCCAGCTTTAAACTTTCAGCTGTCGCAGCACAGGTGATCAGGACCGGCGTGCTCCACAGGAAGGCCCACTTTGCGCTGAGGTCTGGCCTGAATCCTCGGTGTCAAGCCCTGCGTGCAAAGTATGAGCTGGATGTGAACGTGACTGTGGTTTGCGGGACAAGCATCTGTTGATGTCTATCCATGTCGTAGGGTTGAGGACGAAGAGTAAAAGCCGACAGGCGCCCAACATCTCGGGAAAAAGCATCAGGGCCAACCTCAGCCACTCGGGGGGTCATGTTTCGCACATCTTCAGCCTCTGGGACTCTGGGCCTGACCTGGAGCCTTCCAGTGCCAGGTCGCATGTACACCATCAGCGTCTTCGCAAACGGCAGAATCCACTTCAGCCCATCTGACATCTCGCCTGCTGTCACAACTCTGGACAACGCCCCGGTCCTCGAAACTGTCGCAACTGGAGGGCTCAGAGCCGCCTCCCAAGACCTCCCCACAAGATGGGGCAGAGACAACCCAAAGAGTTGCAGCTATGTTATGCACTGCAAGAGTCGGGACCTGGGAGGGTGGCTTCTATTCTATGTGCCGTTCGCCCGGCTGGGTTTTCAGAGGCTTCGCAGAATGGCAAGCAAGGCAATTTTGACAGATTGAGGGCTCCAAGGCTTTTCGCGAGGAGAGGGGCTCTTGTGCAGCGTGTCTCAGCCCTGCTGATGCAGTGGCGTTGCCGTGCGCTGCCCTAAGAGGGCTGGAGGATCCTCGGGTTCTCTTCTGGAAGCTCAGCCCAGGGCCAACATGCTTGTTGCAGCTTGAACACTTGCTGTACAGGCGTTCTGTCCTCGCTGCCTCTACTCTACAGTGACTGCACGTTTCGGGGATCCTGAACATCTTCCCACTCCCTGTCGCACCTCATGGGGGCCTTCGTATCTCCCTTGGCCCCCGAAGCCGTGAATTCGTCATTGCGAGCTGAAAGAGAACACTGTCATCCCAGCCACCTTCGCCATGAACCGGCTTCTCCAGCTCCTGCCCCAGGCGCATGTACAGCAAGCTGGCCTGCTGCGCAACGAACCTGGGTAAATCGAGAATCTCAGTGGGAGCCGGTGCTCAGTTTGGCCAAGGACATCCTGACGCTTGGGTGCCCAATACTAGTGAAGTTGCATCCCCAGACATCCCAAAGCCTGGTTTGGTCTCCAAGTTACAAAGGAATGCAGCCCAAGCAAAGCCACATTGGGTGGACCCGCACGGTTCCTCCGGCACTCAAGTGGTGCAGCTTGAGGCTTGGAGGGTCATGCGTGCGAGCTGTTTACATAGGCAGGGTGTCCTCCAGGAAGTTGCAAGTGAACCCCTCCGAAAGCGGCCATCGTCACAGAGTCATACATGTCGTCGTCAATGTCTAGGTGCGACACGTCTGGGATTCTAGTGGAACAGGAGAACGGTGAACAGGCTCTCCACGTGCAGCCCAGAAGCGAACATGTGCATCCATCGTGGGGACGTCCTTTGCCTCAGCATCAACGCCCCGTTGCTCAGACTTCCCGATGCAACATGACCCATGTGCCAAGCCACGTCCCCAAATTGCGGACACTTATCCTGACCTGGCACAAGCTCCCAGGTTGAACATGGAGGAGTGTGACTAGGTCACTAGGTGGTGCCTGACTCATTCGAGGAGTTGTCATCCTCTCTGGATGTCGCCCGCTCTGAGTCGTTGCTTATGCAACGGTAATCACACTCGCGGCTGTAACCGTTCGCGGGCCGCCACGGCCTTAGGTAGTCTTGCTCTGCATCAAGTCGAAGCATGAGTCATTGGCAAAGCAACTTAGGCTGCAGCCAGCACTGCATCGAATTCAACATGAACTCGACACATGCATGCTTGTCAGCACAGCACAGTCAAGTATCGTTTTGTTGGGCAAGTTTGTCTTGGGCCATGCGCGGCTGGAGCAGGCGCTTAAGAAGATCTCCGTTCGGAATCAATGTATTCTCCATGTCTTGTGATTCTTTTGCTCATGGCTAAGATCGGCTCAAGCGTAGAAAAGCGGCGAAATACATTGCACAGTCACGTGACCATGCACCATACTCAAGAAAGGGTCGGAGCAAATCCACGGCGTCAGTTGCATGTAACACCCTTCCCCCCCCCCGCCCCCGACGCCTTTTTGCACGCAGCAAAAGACAACTCACGCTTGCAGCGAAGCGGCTAAGCTGTGAGCCCGTTTAGTTTCTGACGCTTGTGGCTGTTGACCTGCGAGCACAATCATGCGACGGACATCTGCATCCATCGCTTTGGCCATGGCAGGCAACAGTCACTTATCATTGGCTGAGGTGCCAAATTCGCAACCGGCTTTGAGGGCGGACAAGACAGCCTTGGCTCCATGACATGAGCAGCCTCTGCCTTCTTTCAGGGATACAGGGTGCATGCCGCTCTACATGGTGCCGCGTGAACAGCAATAAAACATAGTAAAACCAGGTAAAACCAGGGGCTGCACCGCGAGAAGCCCGGCAAAGACCAACCTTAAACCCAAGAATAACAAACAACCCCAAAAAACGAAACAAACCCAAAAGAAACTAACAAAAAACCAACAAGACCTTAGCTGTCAAAATCACAATACATCCTAAAATAAACCCATTAAATCCCCAAAAACCCCAACATTTTACCACTTTCCGGCCGGGCTGCCGACAATCCCAACAAGTACAAAAACCAACAAATCCCCCCACAAAAAGCCCAACAAATCCTGAAAACCCCCAACATTTCCCCACTTTCCGGCCGGGCCACCGAGCCCCAACCATTCCTACTAAAATCCCAAACCCTTGGAAAACCCTCTGAAGGGGTTCGCCTGTTTTTGTCGAAAAAGAGCGTTTGGGGAAGGGAATGCCGCGGTTGTTTTCCAGGACGGTTTGAGGCCACAGAAAGCCTTGAGTAACATCGATAGAACATGACATCATCACATGCTGCCCTGCATGCACAAATCAATATCTCGATTTCGAATCGCAATCGTAAAGGTTTATGGTAGGAAATTTGTTGGGAAAAATCAGGGTTTTCGAGGTTTCAGAGCATGAGAGAAGTAGAAGCATGGTTTAAAGCAGCAGACACCCGGAAAAGAAACAAAAAAACTCTTGACCTTAACAGTCAGCCGTACTAGTCAAGACAGGGGTCATGTCTTCGAACATCTTCGACAGCCCATTCCTGTCCGGATGAAATGCCTGGGTGACTTTCCGAACTACAATGGTGTAGAAGTGCCGTAGGCTTTGGTTTCCAAGCAGACATTGATTCATCTAACATACGCATGGCGATGCATGCGTAGCAGCGTAGCACCTTGTTCTACGCCAAGGCATGTCAACAGCGCTGTGGCAGGGCTTTGAGCCGGTGCAAGCCGGCGCAAGCTCACATGTACGGGGTGGAAAGATCAAATATTTAGCGTCTAGAGACGTCCAAGGCCAAGCCGACGCGAACAGGGCTCGAGCAGATCAGAAATCAATCTGTGTGGCAAGATGCCGACTGGATTGCCTGCCGTTGGAGGCTGATAACATCTTGCCTGGACAGGTGGAAGGCCTCGGATGCTTGGATGCACGTCCTGGAAAGAGCCTGGCCGCATAGAAACGGGGCGAACCCTGCTCCTGCTGGCCAGATTCTGTGGCCAGGTCGTAAATCTCAGAGGACAGGTCGCAGGAGAACAAACCTTTGCTGACTCTGCGTGTGTATGTCTGCATGGTCTGCAGATTGCTGCGAAGCGTTGTTCGTCCACACTGCGGTTAAGATCCAGCATGAGCTCCGGGCCGACATCGTCAGTGTTCACACTGAGATGGATCTTGTCGGACTTCTGCCACCAGTCCAGGAAATGATGGTCCTCTAAGCCTCAAGAGCTAGCTTGGGGAGCGGAAGCTTTTCTTGGTGAGGAAAGTCTACTGAGTCACGGATCAGGACATGCACTGTGAAGACAAGACGCTGGGGATTTCCTTGGTGATCATGTTGGAGGTCGGGCAAAGCTCCTGAGTAGGGCATCTGACTGATGTTGAACCCTTCAAAACCGTTGCAAAACAGGAGCCTGAATCCCTCCCCTGAGACACAAGAGCTAATGACAGCAGGTACCGGGGACACTCACGCAAGCCCCGATGCTGTAGGCAGCAACCCCGAAACCCTGAAGCCTCAACACTGATCCCATCATGCCAAGGTTAAATACCAAACCCTTCCCTGGCTGACGTGGTGCAAGTTGGAAGCCCCAACACTGGAAAATCTGGTGGCTGGGCTGCCACTGCGGTTGTGAAAGAAACAGCAAGCTACTTGGGAGCACACCCTTTAACCCTGAACTTGCTTCAACACACCTTCGTAAGCGATCAACGACCACATTCCGAAACAAACATAGATCCTCTGTGTGCTCCTTCCGTATCTCAACGACAGCACTCAGTTGAACTAGAACTTTAGATCCCTTGACTGTTGCGACGTACCTCTGTTCTGGTTAAACGACTAAGTAATCTTAACAGCGAGACAGGGATACATGGGGCGGGACGCTCTCTGTTTGTGCTTCTACCACATATGCCTCACACGCGCGCGCGCACACGCGCGCGCACACACGCATGTATGTGTGCCCCCTCAGTCTTGTTTTACTGTTGAAGTTATCACGTAAATCGACACCTACAATCTCTCTTCTGGTCCCAGCAGCGATGCCCACACCGCTATCCTCAAAAACACCCTGCAGAACTCGTTCTCGACAGCTGTCTGGAAGGTAGGTCACGTGGCCCAACCGCCTTCATCAGCGACAAAGAGCAAGCGTGAAGGGATCTAATTGATTCAGGATATGCCGCAACTCATGTGAGCAGCCAGTCGGGCCGGAAATGCAGGAACATCCAAAAGCGCTCAGCTGATCACGCCAAGTCTGCGCCTGATGTTGAGCTTGCACATGCCTTGGCAAACTCTTCCGGCATGTTTGCAAGGTTTCGATCGTCGGATGCTAGTCCCTTGCACAGGCCGGCGGTTGTTGTCAGCGCAGTCTTTACATAGATCCTCACCGACGTCCTACTACAGCAGCGAGCCATACGAAACAAAGTCAGGTTACAGTTCCCCCTGCCTCACTCCCCAATTGCCCTGATCGCGACTGCATGGTGCCCGTTCTGAAGCCAAGAGTCTGTCGATGATCATTTTGCTTTCCTCCTTAGACCCGCCATGGGTTAGCAACAGTTTAAGCCACACAAGTACACGCAGTCACTCAGTTTCGGCTTGTCCATCACAGCGGCATCATCAGGAATTTCTGCTGTGTGGAAGGTGATTGGTAGCCGCTGAAAGGCATGACTCCTCTCCTTGTGAGGCACGGCACGACACACCGATTTGCCAAAAGTTGAAACTCAGAGCATCCAAACTACAAAGACAATGAATCTTCTAAGCTGTCGAGCGACTAAAAGGGCTGGAAGAAGGTGCGACTTCACAGTGTTTGCATGCGGATTTCCACAGATGTCGATGCCCACAACCAGATCAGAATGCTCCTACACAGGAGCTGAAATCGTTTGCCACGGATTCCGTTAAACGCCAACGCCAAAGCCCAAACAACCAACCTGGGGCCCGTCTTCGGCGAGGTGTTCCGACAAACGCACACATGGATCTCTCGAAACTCGCTCCGGCAACCCAGTGAGAAGCAAGGGGCGCACTGTCTGGGCTTAGAGAAGGACCTTCCTATTTTTGTGGACACTGCTAAAGTCGCCATTTTCCAAGACGGGTGCGTGAAAATACTCGGAAGGACACATTTGTCCTCGTTGAGGTGAAGGCTTTCTGGACCCCATAATACTGAACTAGGGAAAGGAGGCGGTCTAGCTGCAAAGCGGAGCATGATAACAGTACCGTTTCTTCAGCATACTTAAGGTCCAATAAGGGGCGAGGGACCTGGAAAACGCCAGCTATTCGTCCATGCAGTTCCTAGTATTCTGATTCAGCATCCGCCAACAGATGTGCTAGAACAAAGCCAAAGAGGTAGGGAGACAGTGGACATTCTTGGCGAAGACCTTTTGTTTGGCTAAAGACAAACGCGCGTTGCGCGGAATCAACTCCATAGATCCTCGCCGGGCTCTGTGGGCTTCTGTGCTCCGGGCAGCTCGGCGGGACTCTCTCCGCTGGCTCTCTGAAACAAGGGAGGCGAGGAGCATGGCTGACTTAAACCGAAACCCTAGCCATAACAACCCCTCAGCGAGGCCTGAATGACTCTTGGAGGTCTTCGGGGCAGTCCTTGTGCATGACCAGAATGTCATCAATCTGCGCCTCGACAAAGGGTTGCCACAAGTCACCAGCAACTGCTACATACAGCCTAACCTCCGATTTCATTCTGCCACGGCTGAGAAGGGCACCAGTGCACTTTCTTTGGAGGTCACCTTGCCGCGGTCGACGCTGAGAAGCAGCTTAACCTGCATCAATGCGGCTGTCACCCACCGCACCACCAGAGTCAGTCCCGGCCCACATGGGCCCACATTGCCTCCATAACGAAGCCAAACTGATCCTGTGCCTGCACACCAGTGACCCAAGTGGCCCAAGCGCAGGCCGTCTATGTTTCTATGCTGCATCTGAAGGTGACAAGGCGATACTTTTGTTGTCGCCTTTGCATGGAACTCTTGGATGGCTTCGCGCACTGTTTCCAGGTACTGCAGCTTTGTGGTCAGCTCTTTTCCCCTCAGCTTTTTGGACTCGCATCTGCTGCCAAGAAAGCGCACGTTTCACACAGCTGGCAGCATGACCAAAATGAACGAGCGTCTCATCCGAGCCATTTTGAGAGCTGACCTCGCAAGACCAATCATCACTTTCTTTTGCATGAGGGAGTTCGTCTGTAAGTGGCGCTGCCTTGAACTGCTTGGGAGAAGTTCGCAGCTCCAAGTACATACATCTCTCGGCCTGACATTTTCCAGTAATGATAGGCCAAGGTGGGCCAAACTTGCTCATTTCCAGTTTGATGTGGATCGAGCCGTACCTCGCAAGACTGTGTGACTACTGTGTGAGTACCCCTTCCTTCCTTCCACTGCACCTGGTCCCCCTGTGTGGGGGGGGACCGCCCTAACGGGCGAGCTCCAGCGAACTGTCTGTGTGTGAAACATCCGTGGTGCTGGGGTTTTACTCCCAGGAATGTACGGTGTGTTAAGCGATGCGTGAATACCCCTTCTCTCTCTCTCTCTCTCCGGCTCTCTGTGTCCCCCTGTGTGTGTGTGTGTGTGTGCTTCAAGCCGCGGGTGCTCGACCCTTTCGGGCACAATGAATAGATGGCACTTCCATGTATGATGGTGAACTTGTCTTGTTGCATGTTGCCCTGGTCTTGAGTCTCTGTATCCAAGAGGCAGCAAAGTGATGAAGCACATGTAAGGTGCTCTCCTCGCAGGACGCTGAACCGCAAATTCGAACTCGTGTCTGCAAAATCTCTCAGTCGTCCTTCAAGGCAGCCAGGTTGGTTATAACACTTGCGACCTTCGAGCTGCTTTGCAGGGAAGGTGTGTGCTTGTTGACCCTTGGTTTTAGGTTGCTGCTGATTCTGCTGCCGCCAGGCATGCTTAATCACGTTGCAGGCTGTGAAGGGTTCGGCGGTTTTATGCAGCCCAGAACACTTTCCGACTGGCTTCACGCCTTCTCGAAGTAGCTGAAGCACTTGGCCAGGGCATCGGAACGATCCTTCACATCGCATTGGGCTGTAGCTCACTGGGGTCCAACATACCAGGTCCTGCGTACTGAGGCCACTGCTGCCTTGCAGTTGAAGGGTGTGAAGGTGGCACCATCACCACGGCGCTCCAGCATCTCAATCCTGGGTCGAGGTCAGAGCTGTGCATCCTTCTCTTCACTGTGCCAGGCTCGGGGAAGGCTGGCCCGAAGTGAGAAAGGCTCAAGCTATTTCCGACTCCAAAGCTTGGTTTTTTTGTCTCAGACGGTTCAGGCGTCATCATTGAGCAGAAGTAGCAGACTTAGCAGCAAGGCCACTAACCAAGCCTATGGCTATCCATCAGGGAGCTTTGTGTTGAGGGGCTGGCAGGACACATTTTTAGCAAGGGATACACAGCAAGGTGCGACATCTGTTGGTAGGTGTGTAGAAGTTCCGGCCATTTCAGTCAACAAGTAGCAACGCCACGTGAAGCAGGTTACTGCAGGCGGGATTCAGCTTCTGCTGCGTGATCGAACCGCTCAGATGGGCATGCAGTTCCACCTTCGGAAGGCTCCGTATGTCCTCAAGCCTCAGATTTTTGATGTAGAATATCAAGCGATCAGCCCGTGTCCGGATTGCCCCGATTGCGTGTCTACCCTGAATCGTGTGCAGCAGCTGCCTGAAACAAGCAATATGAATCAACTACAGCAGCCAAACTAGCGCAAGAACACGCTCAAGATGACCGACGTTTAGGCTTTGCATCTCTCCGGGGCAACGCAATCCAAAGAGAAACATGCCGAAAGTCCGCATGCAACTGTAAATCGGTATTTGGGGCCACACAAAACGAAAGTAGCAAAAACTAATTAAAGCTCACTCCTCACGCTCAGATGTACAAAGCACCTTTTTGTTATGTGAGGAGCGTGAGCTCTTCGAAGCCATTTTGCGGAGCCATGTGCTCAAACCACTTGCATTAGCTGCTTACTTGGTGGGCCGCTGTGCGTTTCCGGGAATGTTCGTACTCGTCCTGGCTCGAAAGTGCGCATTGAAGTTGAACTCAATGTGCCGGCTTGTCATGTACATCGCACCATGTCTGTGGCGAGCACAATGTTCTCGCTTTGGCAGTGAGATGTTCTCAACGGCAAGGCAAGGACTCGACATGTCGGGGCCAGCAAAGCGTGCTCTGGCATGAAGTGCCTCTCCTTTTCAAGTTCTAGCCAATCCGATACTCGAACATTGTCGTCGAAGCAGGCAGGCATGTGCTGATTGCCTGCAACATCTCGTCCTGCACTGCACGTGATGAAGCACTGGAACATGACCAGCGCCTGTTGCTTCTCTGTAGTTCCTTACTGAAATGAGCATGGCTTGTCGCGCGTGGGACCGCAGCGCTGATAACATAATGCTTCTGGTTCGCTTCTTGTGAAACGATGAATTCACGCAGTGATGCCATTCACCACAGCACCTAATACTATTTGCTTGATGCCTGAAGCTGCCCAATTGATTGCTCAGCCATCCGCATGGGCTGCTTTCCTATCTTCAAATTAGAAGCTTGGCAACAGATGTGGCTCAGCTCTGCTTGAAGGAGCCAGGAAGAATATTATAGACATGGCCGCAGCCCTTCCTGGAAAGTGCATCCGCAGAGACCGGTGGAAAGTTGCTGAGATCACGAATGTCTGGTTTCTTTCAACAAAACTCGCGATGGTGGTTTCTGGCTGCGGATGTTCACTTTTTAATATTTTGTTCGCCTGATTCTTGGCCAAATCAGAGAGTAGATGTGGACACCCTGACCCACCACGCCTATGGAGGATCAAGGAGCAGCGGGTGTACAGTCGGAAGGCACACCACTTCACCTCCTCTGGAATGTGTCCAATATTGTACACACAGTGCTTGGAAGGCCTCCGCACGCTAGGCTAAGGTTCTTGCATCATGTAGTACCTTTTGGGGTAGCATACCACGATTCTAACAGGAAAGCTATGACTAACCCCAAGGGAACTACATTACTTGGAGCCTTTCAGGTTAAAGTCGCAGAGCTCGGCTGAGTTTGCTTCGGGCGTAGGGTCGGATTCTCAATGGACATGCGCATGGCCTTCCACGCACGTGTCAGCACTTGCATGAGGGCATACCTGGAGACCTTGCCTGTGCGTTCTGCTTTTGCGCGGTGGGCGGAAAGCTGCAGGGCAGCTGATGGAAATCCATCTGCACTAGTCATAGTGAGTCGAACGTCACACAGATGGAATACGCAAAGGACACATGCAATTGCAAGCTTGCTTTCGGCTCACCGCGGCTCGTGCTCTGCCAAGTGACCGACACGGAGCACATAGAGGTTTCATGTGATGAGCATTGGGCTATCTTCAGGTTAACGTGTATCAAGGATGGTACGAAGCCAAAAGCAAGTCACTTGGAAGTGCGCGGCAGCAAGCGAGGATTCAACCTGGCAGGCAAGTCTCTGCTGTACAGACTTTCTGGTCTGAAGACCTACCGACGCACTACGGCTGTGGTCTGGTCCCGCCTCATAGCTGAATGCCCGGGGTGAGGCCAACTTTCGGGGGCGGCTTACCTGAGTGTGCCAAGGACCCTGTGGCCCTACGGCCCTACAGAGGCCTGCGTGCAGCTTCGTGGGTCAAAGATGATGGAATGTCCAAGCTGCTGCCGGATGGTGGCCCTTCCCCTGGCTTGGTCACCATGCCCTGAGCTGCATGGAACCCCCAGCACAACGCGATGCAAAACCCTATTTTGCACTGAGCTTTCTGACAGGCACTTTGTCCCCGGATGTTTCAGAAGGACTGGGGTCATCTGGAACCGGAGTCACTCGAATGTATGTCCATAACTCCATCATCATCTGTTTGTGTGGTCTGCTCAAGCTTGTGACCTGTCCGCATTTGCGGCAAACAGTTTATCCACGACTCTGACGATCCAATTTCGAGGACCAGGTCCCTGAACTAGCTCGCAGCTTTTCAGCACGACCTTCCCCAAACACCCATACAAATCCAACAAGAATCACCGAAAGCTTACGTAGGACATCTCAGGACTGAGGACAGGACTGAAGGAAGCCGTGGCGGCAGATTGCCAGCCATTGGGCCCGGAGGCAGCCTGCAGCCGGTAATGTCAAGCGGTTACCTGTGAGTATGAGAGAGTTTCAGGGATGAAGCTATCTTCGTGGCTCTGCATGGTACTTTGACTTATCATCTGAATCTAAACCCCTAAGCCGAAGCAATTGAACGCCACGCCTGAAGCCTGCAGTGCAGCCAGTATGTGGGATGAACCCCGAATGGAAGATGACTCCTGCTCGAGTTAGGGTTATCACATTGAGGCAGGAGGCGGCCCCGGCTGGAGAATGCCTCGCGGAGCCTCGGGGGCATTCAGGATCTCTCACTTGCTACTTCACCACTACTTCACCATACCTGCCTAGAGTGAGGGTTGAGAATATATTGCAGCGTGGATTATGCTGGGCTCCGGGCAGGATTGCCACTTCGGTCGCCAGAGCGGTCGCCCCGACCTCCCTTGCCTCGGCCCTTGCCCTTTCCGGGGCCACCTGAACCACCGGGACCATCAGAGTGAGGTTCGTCTCCGTCGCCCGCGCGCTCGTTTTTGCTGGACTGGTGCTCCATCCTGCGGGACTGTGACTATGTGTACAATGTATACGTCAAAGACAGAGCAGCGTGCCGTTGCCGCCTTGCTGGCCGTCCCTTGATTGCGAGTCCCTGAAGTGTGCGAACCTTGCAAGCAAAACATAAGCAAACTTCATCTACTCTTCTTTCAGCCCACTCGGTGCATCTGGGATCCCAAGCCGCAAGGTCAACACATCCGGGGTGTTTAAACTCAGCAAAGGCAATGCTGGAATACTTACCTGAAGCGCAAGAGGCACAGAGTGGCACATGCAGTACAACTCTGTTCGCTCTGTTTCGTGAGGGGTTGTAATGCTTGTATGCATCGCCTTGACGCAGGCGTATTCCCAGCACCTCGCCCGCCGGCTTCAGTGCCTGTGCCAAGAGGAACACTCATTCTCACTGCTGTGGCGCGCTCGTGCCACTTTTTATCCACCGCTTGATCATTCAAGCCAGAGCTTGACAGGCTATCCCCACCTCGATCAAATCGTCGCTGGAAACCTCCGTCGAAAGATTTCCAATGAACAGCCTCGATTCAGCATTTGTGTTTGAAGACCAGTGCTGGGCATGTAGAGGCTGCTGGGCGCAGTGGGGTGTAGATTGGATTCTGCTGCGGTGTGTTATTGGGGCCTCTGGCGGATCCCAATGTGGGGTTTTTGGTATACACATGAACAACGCAGGTAGCATGCGTGGCAGACGTTGCAAGAACAGTGGGCAACAGGAGCAGAAGTACTGAGGCAACGGCTTGTTTGGACTGTTGCCATACCTCATCTTGCCGACACCAGAGGTCGTGAACCCAGTCTCCCCTGCAAGCGCGGCGTGTACAAACATCTCACAAGAAAAGCAGTTGCAAAGCACTGGAGGTGGAGAAGTCAGAACCTTCGGAACAGCTACCCTTCCGAGCTGAACCCACGCCGGTCCTTTGTTGTTGCCAGCCTTCCCTTTCCTTGGATCTTAGCTTAGATCTTACGGTAGATGCTGCAACTGGGCAACCATCAGCTCTGGAAGACACCCCTGGCTTTCAAAATGCTTCCCGACCTCATTGCACAAGCGAATGCTGCAGACAGGGCACCCAAGGCCCTTCTTTCCCCCACCTTAAACCACTCACGCAAAGTGCATGTCTCGAAGCTGTGCGTCGATACTGTCTCACCACCTTGCCTCCAGGATCGCCTCCTTTCCTAAGTTGATTCTCAACTTCGCTTGGAGAATTCAGGACTCGTGCTGGCATTGGTCATGCGATTTAAGCAGGGCTCTCTGCTCCTTTCGAGCTCGAACTTGGTCCTGTGCCAACGAAGGCAGCACCTTCTCACGATCCAGCGTTTGACACCAAAGGCTTTCAGAGCTGAGTGAGTGCCCCGACCCTTGTCCCAACCATCTTTGGAGCCCTTGCCGAGGCCGGGTTTGCCTGGCATGACACCCGACACCCGACGATGCCCCATGCGACAGGCGTGTCACGTGTGAGCTCAGCCGGGATTTTGCCACCTCCCTTCTGGGGTCCACCTGGCTGAAAGCCACTTTGCAGCCTTGGCTTCAGCGCTGCCGTCTGCAGTTACAGGTTACAACACCGGTGCCCTCCAAATGTTGTGCCGGCGCAATCAGACCCCAAACTGTGAGAGACCAAGTGAAACCAAACGTCCATCATGTCCAAAAGCGACACCCGTGTGACAATCCCGGGCATTTCAATATCAAACCCCATCGGACGGAAATAAGCGTTACGAAGGAAGGTCCAGGTCTAGAATCTAGAATTCTGTTAGTATGTGCCATTCCCTGGGGTCTGGACGCTCCCTTGCCTGTGACCTCAGTTCGTGCAAAGTTGAGCCACGAGCTCCAGGGGGGACTCACACGTGTAGCATCGTGTAGCATGTCTAAGCCAGGTGCAGCTCCGCGCTCGTCTGGGAACTCGACGGTCAACAGGCGGCCCTCGATGTTCAAGCCGTTCAGCTCATCCTCGGCTGTATCATCGCCCCGCACCACAGCACGACTTTGTCAGATGTAGCCACGCAGGGCATCATGAACCGCGTGCTGATTTTGGCTTCTCTTCATCATAAGAAGCCGCTACGCTAGGAAGGCCCGGAAGAGTGCTTCCAAGTGTCGACAGCTCGACGCGCCTTGGAGGGATCTGCGAGGGCCACTAAGGCCATGCCTTTCCCTTGCCTCGTCGCTGACGGCATGTCCCAACAGCAGCCATCACAAGTGATCAGCTCTGTGCATGCCTCTGCATCTCGATCGAGCGAATCTCCAGACCTTTGATCCTTCCAGGCTGGTGCGCCCTGTCACTACTTCGCCACTACGTGCGTCGCCGTGCTTCCTGTCCGCTTGTCTTTGGCATGTTCATTCTGCACTGATGTGGGGGGCCTTTGGTGGCTGTGTTTCGCCCCTTCTGCTGTTGTCCATACGGTGTGGTCCAACAGGTTTCAGGCTGTGTATTCTCGTTAACGCTGGCCAGATCGCCTTCTTTCTTTAGCTGCGTTCTTGCAAGGATCCGTGTCGAATTCTGTTGGGGATTCCAGGTTGCTTAATCACATGCTCGGCCAAGTTGGGGAAGTGTGGGCAGCCCCCCCTTTCGGCATACTTTGGTGGATCCACTGACTGCGGCTTCACCCATGCTTTGCTGCATGTCCTCTCAGCACGTCGTTGCAACGTACTTGTATGCATTCTCTAAGCCGGTGCTAGGGTAGGTTGCAGTTTCATTCGTGTTTGGGGTAAAAGAACGTTTTACTTTGTCCCTCTCCCTGGCAGCCACAGCTCGGAGGGACCAGGTAGGGGTTGGCTCACAAGCCCATGTTCCCTTCGCCTCCGCCTGCCTTTTTGCAGCCCAAAGTCAAGCTGCCCTGGACCTTTTATAACTTATGGACTCGAACCGGACACCCTGCATTGCTGTCCTTGACCAGCACATTCCGACACAGCTGTTGCGCTACAGCGACAGGAAACGAGTCATCAGGCCCTTTCCAGACCACACAAACCCCAGCTGGAGGCCACTAGCTAAAACGATGCCTCCTGTATCCATGACGTGCAGGCCGTGCCGAGGCGGGCTGCGTTAGCCTCAATATTTCACCCTCCTCCTTGTCCTTCATGGTTGTGCGGGTCGGCCCCAGTCAGACTGTTGAGCCCTCGGGCGATTAGTTCGAAGCCCTAAGGGGTGCAAGTCACGATCGAAAAAGAATCCACAACCGCCATAGGATAAAAGGTAGTCGGACAATTTTGATCTTCTCAGGGGAGGGGCTCCCATCGCCATTGCTTTCCTCTGTGGAGTCTGAATCGCTGGAACTAAACCTTGTGTGTGTCTGTGTGTCTGTGTGTCTGTGTCTCTGTGTGTCTGTGTGTCTGTGTGTCTGTGTGTCTGTGTGTCTGTGTGTCTGTGTGTCTGTGTGTCTGTGTGTCTGTGTGTCTGTGTGTCTGTGTGTCTGTGTGTCTGTGTGTCTGTGTGTCTGTGTGTCTGTGTGTCGCCAGTCCGATGCTCTTGCGCATGTCCTGAAGATCTCCCTGATCTGGCCCGGGTTAACCTGGGAGCTGCAACGGCCCATGAGGCTGTTGCAGCAGCCAAAGGTCGAGCGGTTTCAACATCTGAGGAGCAACTGAGGCCCGCACGCCTTGGCCAAGTACGCCAACGCGAAGATCAAAATTGACATTCCTCATCGAGACACGACAATCATCTTAGTGAATGCGCCGACACCGTGAGCAGGCACGAAAGTACGAGTACATGTAATCAGCGGGCGGGGGTGGGGGGGGGGTAGGGGCGCCTACCCAGGTAAAGTCTACCCCAAGCCAACGTCATTTAAATAACGAACCATAATAAACCCAAGGAAAGTTGCAGAAATGCCGCAGAGCTCGGCTCGAAATCAACTGCTGACGAAGCTGCGACTGGTCCGAGTTCAAGCCCTGGTGTGGACGGAACGCAGATGACGACTTGTGTTGTGGGAGATCCGTATCTTTAGAAAGAGCTGTCACAAAGGCAGCACTCTCCCAGCCTCGGGCCGCCTAGGGAAGCCTCCCACAGAATGGCTCTGCTCAAAAACTGCTACACACGATCCCCACGAGCACAACCTTCCAGAGACAGAGACGAGGTGGCACCTGCATCAAGGCTGTTGTGCAAGTCGTCCATGAAGAGGCCGTTGGTTACGCTATTTGCACCGACGTTGTCTTCACGCGTCTGCCTTCATCCAAAGGATGCCGCACAAGGATTTCTTGTTGGGCCAAAGGACTGCCACTTCAGTTGACTTCAATTGTCAATGCCTGGTATCTAGGGCCCGAGCTGAAAAATCCCCAACTCTGGCGACCGTCCACCAGCACCACCGCCACCGCTACCACCTGGACTTGGATGACTCGTTCTGACTGAACACAGTCATACAGTCATACACAGTCATGCAGACACCAGGCACGAGCAGCGAAACATCAAAAAAACGGAAGCCCGCTTTATTTTTGGAACGGATTGCAACGGCACCGAAGAAATGGATAGTACATAAGAGTGCTCGCAGAGACACGTCGAGCGCACGCGTTGGACATATGCGGGCGAGCGGCAGATGCCTGGGAAGTTCAGACTGGGCATTCCGCATCCTCCGCATCCTCCACACCCTCCGCATCCTCCGCACCCTCCACATCCTCCGCATGCTCCGAGCCTCTTCTCTTCGGGCCTCTCCTGAAGCTGGAGTGCCGACAGCTCCTGGAAGTTCTCCGGCAGGTTTCCCTGAAATGTGCCGGGGAGGTTGCCCGGGAGTGGCCGCATTTGAAGCTGCTGAGACTGCGGCGCATGCGGCTGTTGCAATTGCATCATGGGTTGGGGTTGGGGCTGGTCACCCATCCCGAAGCAGCCAGACTGTGGAGGCTGGGCCAGCTGTTGGAGGATAAGCTGTTGCTGCTGCAGCAGAAGCTGATTCTGTGGCTGGCTCTCCTCACGTGGGGGATCCAAAGGCTCCCTTCCCAAGTCCTGCATCCAAGGCTGGCGCACTGGGTCCTGGAAGCTGTCCCCTGGGCCTGGGAGCTTGTGGAAGGAGCTGGGTGGGTTGCTGAGGTTACCGAGGTTACTGAGGTTACTGAGGTTGCTGGGCTGTGGCAGCTGTGGCCTTGCAGGACCTTCGCCCATCGGTGCTGGCAGGGTGCCACCCAGAAGCTGAGCGCAAAAAGCTCCAAGCAACTGTCCAGGCTGTGACTGCGCAGGCAACTGTCCAGGCATGCCGCCCAAAATCGCCATCTGCTGCATCTGCGAGGGGTTGTTGAAGCCTTGCGAGGCTTGACCTTCGGCCATCTGGCTGACTGGCAGCCCCGAGAGCCGGAGATTGTCTGTTTGGTTTTGGGATGAGACTCCCGACATTATCCCCAAGCCGCCTACAGGCTGCGACCCATCCGGGTTCCATACCGGGGTCATCACGCCAAGGTTCGGCATTGCTACGCCACCGCCTACACCGCCGCCTACGCCACCTCCTACGCCGCCTCCGGCCCCGCACTGGGAGTTGCCCCGCTCAGGAGCTTCCGAGCGCTGGGGCTGCATGTTTTGGGACGGCATGTTTTGTGAAGGCTGCAGCGGCAAAGCTTGTGCAAAATTGCTAAACTGTGGCTGCGGGTTGGGAGGCTGAAGCTGGAGACCGAGCCCTGAAGTGTAGCCCGGGCTGGACATGAAGGATGCCTGGCCACCCAGGTTTCCGCCCAGGATCGTCATCGGCAGGCCGGATGCCTGGAGGTTCAATGCCTGCGGCACCTGACAAGCCTGCATGCCATCGTCGAAGGAATCGCCACCGGGAAGTTGCTGAAAACCCCGCATCTCTCCTACAGTTCCCAGAATGTCACAGATACTTTCTCCGTATATGTTCATTCCGTTGGCAGTCCTTGGCGTGCTCGTGGGACTGGTTGGTGCCTGAAAGCTTTCGTTTAACTGCAGGGCTGCACCACAAGGGAACCCAGTGAGGACCCAGCCTAGTTGCCCGTCCACACGGTCTCGCAGCGGAAGTCCAGGGCCATTAGAGGCCCCGCAGATGCGGAGAACACAGCTAGCCCCCTTGAGCGCTAGGACGGCTGCCACACCCACTGACTGTAAGGCAAATGCTGCTCCGAGCACTCGTAGCTTGATCCTTGATTTCAAGTGATTCCATGCCCAGTGCGCTAGATGCCCTTCACCGCGTCGCATTGCTCAGGTTTCAGGGTTCGCTATTCCAAGCAGGGCAGCACTCAAAAGAGAGGCAGGGTCATGACCTGCCAATGCTAAAGCTTGTTGCGTTCTCTTTGTACAGGTGAGACCAGTGCACTGACTGCACACTGCAATGGTTTTCTCAGATCATCTCCTGGCATTGGTCGCAGGAACGACCAGTGCTTGCAAGGGAGAATAAGAAATGCCCTGGCCTGTCAGTGAGCATATGAGAGAGCCGCAGGAAGACGTTCGCATCGACTCGCTGTTTCCTGAGCGAGTTGGAACCCATGGTGCCATGGTTGCGGGAAGTGCCCGAACTGCCCGAGGCATCTTTTGGTCCACTGGGAACCGTCGACCCACGGCTATGTGCGGAAAGGTGCGAAGTCGAATAAGGATAAGGGGGCAGTCAGCCTTCGGCCCAGTGCCCTCCGCCTTATTCCGCAAATCGAGCGGCAAATCGAATCACAGGAGCCGCAGACGCTCGTATAGGGGATCTGTGGGGATCTTGTATAGGCCTAGTATAGGCATGCCTCGTCATAGTCTCTACAGCATCCCGATGCACCCGTGACTCAATCTGAATCTAGAGCACTGTGAGCACGGCGCCAGCGTCTGAAACACAAGGCCCGCAAAGGCTGGCAGGTCATGCCGGTCGCTCGGCACCGTGCTCCGAGTGCGAGCTTGCCCCAGACTTCTTGGCATCACCTTCGGGCTTCAAACTTCACCCCAACATGGAACCCTTTGTCCTGCTTTTCGTGATAGGTTTGCACCGAGTTCACGCCAAAAGCTGTCGAGGCTCGTTTAAGCTAGCTTCACTTCGAGCATCCGGAGTCTTGAGAAGGCTCAGTCTCTGAAGGTGGAGGTGTATTGTAGCGCTTCAGAATTTCTGAGGCGATCTCTGCCATGGAGCCTTTCCAGCGGATACTCAGAACAAAAGAATTTGGAGCCTGTGCAGTGCATCAGCATTGCTGTTCCACCCGTCTCAGATGCCCTCGGCGCTTACGCCGTGGGCGTCATCTCAGCACCCACAAGAATCTGACGAGGGTCAGGCTGGGGGTGCTGCGGGGGTAGGCCACGGTTCCACTACTAACTGGAGGCAGGATTCAGCACACCATCACAGAATGCCAGATTTTGCAGACGAAGCAGAATGAGACATTGGCTCTGCTCTGCTGTCCTTCCTCGATATTTCATTACTGCTCCGAATCTGTCTGAACCCTGCAATGCCTGTTCTGGCCTGCAGGGGGCGAGCCGCTTCGCAGCCATTTGCACACCACCAGGACAACATCTGGAAAACCGCGCTCAAAATCATTGTATTTAAACACCGCCTCTCACGGCTCTCACCTCAAACTCTTGACCTTAGACCAAGGCACCAGCAGACTTGCCACGAACCGAAGCACCCCAGGCTCGAGCGAACGTATGAACGAGATGCTGTCGACCATGAAAAGTGGAAGAAATTGCACTTACTAGCCGAGTGCCATTTGCTGAAGGAACGGCGCAAAATGGCTTTGGGGATTTGGTTCTGGCTTTGGGGGCCCAATGTTTAACTGGCAGGATAGAAGTTTCTTCGCGGTTGCCAGCGCTGTCGGCTTCTACGTTTGAGCTGTAGCTAGCAGTATGTAAAGATCGAGTAATGCAAGACAGGACTGCAGGTTGGCGAATGCAAGGCTGGCACAGTCGCCGACGCAGACAAACTAAGAAACAACTTCTGGCTCGCCTTGCCCCGGACCACGGAGACACACCAAAGAAGGACTCAGACGCAAAATTAAATTGGATACTCCTGCGGCTTGCTTGGGGAAGGCCATGGAAAGGGGCCGTAGGGGCCACCGCCTCCTGGAACAAAAATCCATGACCATAGTGCTGCTCCGAACATTGTGTAAGGGGTATAAGGAGGGAAATAACCCTTCGATATCTTTTTTTGTGATCTATGTATCCCTTATCTCGTCCCTTCGACCTAAGTAGCCCCTGTATAGCCCCCAACTAGCCCCTCAGGTCCCTTGTACGGGTCCCTCCTTTAGTCCCTTGTGAGTGCGGGACGTTTGTCAAGTCGGTATGTGACATCGTCCTCCTGGAATCCAGCCTGGAGTTGCTCTCGCACCTGCCATATGGCTCTTCGACTTCTCAGATTCGCATGCTCTCCATGCTCTCCATGCTCTCCATGCTCTCCATGCTCAACCTCTGGCAAACCACGTTATTGTCCACTTCAGTTGAGCTTAATGAGTTCGGGTCTCGCACCTATAAATTGAAGCACTGCGCAACATGATGCGTGTCGGGAGCACACTGCGTCGTCTTTACGCCCCGTGGCACGGAGCCCGTGATCGTGAAGAATTTCTTTGGAAAGGCCAAAGCCTGTTCCACAGGCACTCTCGCGCAGCTTCTCCCAGTGTCTGCAAGGAAACTGCGACACTCATTGACTCATTGACGCTCTGGCCTTTCGTCTTGTCCGGCTGTCTTACAGACGAGGCCGCTGAGGCCACACTACTCGTACCGTCCTCGTCGTCATCCTCGTCGCATTTCTCCTGCAATGCAGTTTGGGCTAGTCACGGCTAGTCTCATAAGACCCTTCCTCTTACATTTGCGAACATGTGCCGCTAGTCCTCCTCTCTATCGACAAGCCTTGGTTCGATGGTAAGGAAGCATCTGCGCCATGAGGAGACCATGTCTCCAGTCACTCCAGCAGTGGCAGAGCAGAAGAGCGAGGCAGGAACGCAACGGAGGGTACCCGCTTCATGCCGAAGCCCTCACCACGTTGTTGTGGAGACCTCATGGCTTTGTTCTCACATGGCTTTGTTCTGGTTAAAGCCGGTGCAGTACTTGGGTGGGGGGGGGAGGAGTAGGGACGGTTCACAGGCCAAGGGCTAGAGGCATCTAGATATACCGACACTACTGATACGTAGCAGAAGGCAACGTAGGTCCCGCTCCCAACGTCCGAATCGTCGGACGTTGGCGGGATCGGCTCCTGTGTATTGCGTCAACTCTCACATCAAAGAAGACTGAGTCTTGCTTTTCCACGATGGCTGTTGTGTCCTGCTCAGGCTGCTCCACCAAAAGCTCATCTTCGGCAGGATCCTCTTCAAACATCAAAGAAGCCTGAGGAATCACATATAATCACATGGTATCTTGCAGTAGGAGTGGTAGGAGCCTCCGGCTCCGCCAATTTCTTGCACATCACTAGCTCCTTGCCTGGGGGCACGAGGCGCCCACTGCACGTCGCAGCACGGGGCCAACGCAAAAACAGCCGTCTGGGCAACGGACAAACATCCTCGTGATCCCTCTGTGCACGTTGGATTGAATACTCTGCCTCAGTTGGCAACTTCATCACAACCAGCGTAGTACTCGAAAAAAAGCGCAGGTGAGGCGCGTCATTCTTGGAGATCCTTTGGGCCGTTTCTGCCAGCTTGACCTCGTCAAAAATGTGGCTCGCCACAGATTTTCGTTGCTTGCGGCTTGCGGCTATGGCACATCATCAAGCTGGAAGCTAGGCGCCCAGTTGGCTTCCCGTCGCTGCCTCGCAAGGATCCCGACACGAAGTGCAGGGTCAAGTTGTGCCAGCATCCAGCCTTGACTGCTCATTAACCACCGCTGCCAGGTAGGCTCGCCTTGGCTTGGATCAAACGTGGCAGCTCAGACAGCGCTAAAGCAAGATGTGCGAGACCACAATAGGGCACTGTTGAAGCAACATGAGGCAACCCACAACTAAGACTTGCAGACTAGTTCAAGATGCTGCCAAGGGCGCGTGTTGTTCTGACCTGAGCACTTCCCAACTCTGCAAGCGGAAGTCGTCCGAGACATCTTTCAAGCCGCTGAGCCTTCCACGTAGCTTTATTCGCCCCAATCCCAGTCCTCGTCTTGACTCTTGCCGCAAAGTCGGATCCTCCAACACGATCCGTTGACATTGCGCCAAGCATCACAGCCACAGCTGTCAGAACAACTACTGTCATGCGATACCAAACATTGCCAAACCATGGTATCACAGGGCTCCACCGACCTGGCCTGAATGTCCCAGGAGCCGCTTGCCTCACATCAAAAGTTCACTGCAGCGCGAATTGCGCACTACCGCGCTTCCGCACGTGGGACTGCTCAGGCACACCAAACATCGAGTCATGAGTCATGCTTAGCACGCCGCTCGTAGACGCTGGTGTTTGACAGCTTCCTGTGAGCTGGGCTGTAGTTCCACAAACTAACAGGGTGCGGGCAGGTTGCCGTTATGCTGCAGAACTGCTACGAAACCTAGGCTTTCGATGGTTTGGGAGGAAAACTGGGTTGCGGAGGTTCCCGGCCCCAAAAATATATATATGCAGTCAGGAGCAGAGGTAAGTCGTTTAAACGTCGAAGATCCTTGTGCAGTATATGTTGTACAGAGAGGCAACAACACTGCGAAATACCAGTGTTTTGGGCATCTTCGCCACAGGCATGTACGCCTGTGACAGCGTGTCTTGTTCCAGAACGTCAGGAATCCTTGTTGCAGTGTGTTGTACAAAGGGGACGGCGCAAATACTGGTGTTTTGGACATGGTCGCCAAAACCACGACGCTATTGTTCCCGCCCCCCTCCCCATCAAGCCCACCCCTCATCCCCACCCCTCATCCCCACCCCTCATCCCCACCCCTCATCCCCACCCCACACCCCCCCCCGAGGCCCACCCCTTCAACGAGGACCGTGAAACCACCAAAAACGCAGGGCAACCAGCGCCCGCCACCAACTAGAACCCACGGCGAGGGGATACGTGATGAGGTGCATGCAAACGGCTCGGGGCCGTTGTGGTTGCCAGGTACTGCCGCTAATCCAATGGCTGCAGCCAAGGCACTTTGTATTCATTTGCAAGAGCCAGCCGCACTTGTAGAAAGTCTTGAAAATCCTGTCAGCAATCATGCTCCTGCTGTCTGCAGTAGATACATTTGGGCTACAAATTGCGCTTTGGTTTGCAGCGCATCTGTTCATGAATGGTCTTCAGGCTCCTTGTGTCATCTGTGTACCACTCCAAACTTTTCGACTGCAATCCGAAACAACCCCATGTCACCGAAATGCCACGGCTTCCGACTCCGTTCTTTTTTTTTGAACCCGGCGAACTGCTCGCTGCGAAGCGGATCTGCACCTCAAGTTCAACCTGCGGGCTAAAATCCAAAAGTCACAACACTTTGTACAAGGGGCCTGGAGCACTTTGACCACGAGGGTCATTGCGATACTGTTCAGCGGCCTGCTGTAGCTGCTTCTTGCGGCCATCAGAATTTTCGAAGCGCGTTCGCCGCCCATGTCCAGGAAGTATCCACAGCACATCCTCTGCTACAAGCTTCAACATGGAATCTGCCTGCAGCTCGGTGTCCTCGGAATACCGCGCGAAACCATCGAGTCTGCCAAGGCGCCCGCTTAGTGCCAAGTGATCACCAGTAAACGCCACACCATCTCCACCAGTCTGTGCACCGTCGGCAATGAGAGTGATGGAACCTGAACTGTGGCCTGGTGTGTAAACTACCTTCAAGCCCTCTGCTACACACCAGGGCCCCTCACCCTCTAACTGCATCTCTACATCAGTCATGTCAATGTAGGGCCAGGACAATGGCCCCCGGACGTCCTGCTTGTGCATTACACGGGTCATTGCGGGGAAACGCTCCTTCCACCGAGCATGGTCGGCGACATCATCCTTATGACTCAAGACCATAAGCTGGACGCCGCCGGCAGACTCCAACACTTTTGCCAGCCGCGAGGAGTAGCGGGGCGAGTCGTACATAACATTGAAGGGGCGTGCTTTCTCTTTGCCTGTCAAGAAATAGCTGGCTGCACCAAAGCTCTTTGGACTGTGGTATCCCAGATGAAACACATGAGGAAGATGCTTGTGCACTGGGATGGGGAAAGCATCAAGCACCTCCCTTGTCTTCCGAAGAGGCTGCTCAGTTCGAATGCTACCAGTGGGGCAGGAGATCATCGCCTTCACTGCAGAATCTATGTCGCTGTCGCTCACTGGCTGCTGGTAAACGTAGCTTTGGCCTCCAGCTGTTCGTGCTGTTCTTCCAAACGTTTCAGGAGCCATCCATCGACAAGTGTCACAGTCGATGCAGGTGTGGTCCACGTAGAACGTCCCTTCAGCATTGGCCGGGTGCCGCTGTTTGGCGCTCATTGCGAAGCAGAGTACCGAAGAAGGGCGTGGACGAGGATTTGTATGAAATTCAGCCATCACAAAGTCAAATGGCCTCGTCGTTTGCAGTATTGTCCACCCTGTGAACGCAAGGCACGCCATCAGCACTCGGTTCTTCATGAGGGCTGTTTACAAGCCGCTAGTCGGTGAACAACTGGCCACAACAACTTCAGCCGATATGCCACATGCACCGCGTTATTGCTCACCGTGATCCTTCGCTTTTCAGCGACATGCAAAACATCTCCGCCGCCTATAAGGCCTACTAAACTTTAAAAGCCCGCCTGCTGCGACCACCACAGCACTTTTTTCAACTCCTAGGCTGTGGGGACAGTAAGGACCACTGTGTTGCCAATTCTTGTACAGTTCACAGTAGCACCTTTCTCTAAAGACCGGGTTTTGGCTCTCACTGGTTGCTGCCACGAAGCCGTCTCACCTAGGTGGGGGACCTCTCACTTGGTCAAGTACAGCGTGGTACAGCTTGCAGCAAACACTCCCCGCACCTGCGAGACGGACACTGTAGCTTTGAAGCTGATGGTTCTTCCCTTGGCACAGGTACATGATGAAACCAGCCCTTGACAGCACCTTTTAAGTTTCGATTCGCCGTTGAGCCCCTTGCATCATCCGCTCGCGTCGTGTCCGTCCGCTGGGTCTCCGTCCTCTGCCTGCATGGCCCAGCTGCAAAGGTCTGCGTCGCATGTTTGCACCGCGGTAGGCTTGCATTTATGTTATGTTGCAGTTGCTCATAATGAACGGCGGGTTTGCCGCAGTCGAACTTGCAGCTCGTCCACACCGAACCTTATGGGACCAGCGTCGCTTTGGCGCAGGGGTGGCAAACGACAAACAAGTGAAGATGCAGCAGCCGTGTCAGAAAGGAAGTCGATAAGAGCAAGAGTCTGAAGATGCAAAGGACTAGAGAGCCTGAAACCGAAATCCTTCAAACCAAAATCACACCCTAAGCGCTAAACCCTGAACCCAAAACCTATGGAGGGTTAGGGGGTTGTATAAGTAGCTTTAAGTAGACCGGGAGAGGGCGGACGCCAGACATCGGCTTTCAATGCGGCCGTGGTGCGATGAGGCCAGAATGGCACCAGGTACAAGACCGGCAGCCCTGGGCCGGCATAATTTGGGATGTGCCCCTTCTTCTAACAATCCTTAAAGGGAATATAGTACCCCCATTATAATCCCAAATAAGGACTGTTAGTATAAGGATCCAAAGGCATACTGCTCTCAAGTTGGCAAAAGGGGGATCCCTGTACTGGCCTCTCGCTCCAACAGCGGTTCGGCAGCTCCTGGACAGTGTTAGAAAGCACTGGCAGTCCTTGCCCCCCCGCAGGAATGGAAATAGTCTGTGTGATCTGTGTGCTCTTAAGCCTCCCAAGTGATGTTTCCATCAGAGCGCAGGATTATGAACTTGAACTCGCAGCTAGTGAAGGCCTGGCAACCGAGGGGGATGCATCTGCAAGGCTGCCTACACATCTTACATCTTGCTGGAGAAAGGTCCAATATAGGTCACCACTCAGTTCCTTGCCGCCGGCACCGCTGCAGCCTGAACGACCACACTTCGGTGACTGCTCTGTCGTCGGCTCTGTAGGCTGAACACAGGGCATGTGTGTGTGTGTGTAACAGCATGCACGCGTCTCAGCACGGTCTGCTCCCCTATGTTTGGTGACCGACTCGAGCCCAAAACGTAGGGGCACGACCCAGATTGGAAAAGCCGTAGCTGACGTTTCAAGTCGGATTGCTTTGCCTTGGCTTTCGAGAAGCTTTGTGATAAGTGGCTCTGGTCCACAAGCGCCCTGTGCTCTTTGCGGTGCGAAGACGAGAGGCATGCTATGGGAGGATGTGGGAGGCATTGGTATGGGAAACAACGGCTGTGCAGGCAAGATGCTGGGATCCCAATCCCCGAGTTCGGGGCTGCCACCAACAACTGCTATCCTTAGCCCAAAACTCCTACAGCAGCTTTGCAAGGCACGCACAGGCATTAGGCCAATGGCTGGTCCCCCACACCGGTGGAGTCACAATGCACTTCCAATCGGTACGCCATGACACCGCAAAAAAGCCTGTCACCATGTTCACAGGCAGGCTTGGCAACAAGACCAAAGTCTCTACCAGAACGTGCGCGCACAACTCTTGCAACGAATTTCTATCGGCTGCTTCTCACAAGAAGTGGGCCTACTGCAAGCACTGGGCCTGGCCTCCTCAGGCTTCTCTAAAGTGACAAAACTTTCGTTTATGGCTTGAGCCCGGAACAGGACAAACATGAACAGCTGTTGAGGTCGTCGGCGATGGGACAGGCCATGATTTGCAATCATGGCCACTGTTGTTCATGCTCCCGGTCGCATCTGGGAATGTTAAGGCAGCCGGCGAGTTTCATACTTTTGGGTTCTGGGCGCCCGGCATCTCAGCTAGGCGCCACTGACGGGCTAGGTGGCCTATCAAGGCTCCAACAATGAACACAAAAGCTTGAAACAACATTGCATTTCTGGCTGCGCCTTGCAGCACATATAACCTCAGACGGCAGTGGCGTGAGGCAGCGTGAGGCAGGACGTCCAAGGCTACCGCGTCACAGAAACTTCTGGCAGTCAAGCTAGAATTCTTGCCACTCGTAGTTCGGCGTCATGTGCCGCGATTGCACATGAAACACAGAGAGCAAGACTGCGACGAGACCAGACTTGACCCTCAATGGGCCGGAAATAAGATCAAAGGCAGCTAAGACTGACTAAGAAGCCCCAAGCTCCCTGAGGGTGCCTTTGAGGGTCCTTGACCCCCAAGCCCGCAATTATTCTGCAAAGCGGCCCAATTCCGAGGGCACTGAAGATGCAGAGACGATTCCTCAGGCAAGCGAGGGTGCACATGTCACACGAGGCCAGCGAAAGTCCTGCTCTTGAATGCTTCTCGCCACACAGCTTTGAGGGCTAGATCTTCCACTGACGGAATCTGAGATCAAGTCCACGGCGATGCAAAGAAGCGGAACACACCCTGGCTGCTCAGTTGGCTGTCGACTTTTTCGACCACAGCCCCCTTATGCCCCCTTAGACCTTTGCCTCCAAGAGCGTCGCTGGCTCTGGCGGGGGTGGGGGTGGGCTTGGTGGTGGAGCGCTGACTGTGTGCTGCTCCACGTTCGCCTGAGAACAGCGTCGGTTTTGCAACATTGGCGATGCCGGCAATGCGCCGCCTGGGCGCTGTTGTTGATGATAAACTGCATTGGTCTCGCCTGCCAGTCACGATCGACAGCTGGATGTGCAGATGACCATAGAAGCCAGCATCAACAGTGTCGAAGTGTCTAGTTGTCCAGCTGATAATTCGACTTGGCACTAAGAACAAGGCAGCAGTGTCGTGAATGGCAGTGATGGCTGCCGACCTGCACACGCCAACAGCATGCACAGCATCCACAAGATGTTTGGGCCCAAAATGGCCGGGAGCACATCTCCTCACGGATGACGTCGCGAAACTGGCCCCACGGAGCCACCTGTCCCAAAGCAGGCTTGCATGCCGCCCCACCACCTGTCATATGTAGAAAGACAAGAAGCAACAGCCGCCTGCGCAGACTGCTCGTCATCGGCTCGCCGGTCCAGGGTATCAACAGGCCGCTCGGGTGCCCCTGAACCGGCCTTCAACAATACAAAGAGAGCCGCTGAGCCCTGTCCACTGACGTGCATCTACACATCTATCGCATGGCCTCCTCTTGCATCTTCAATGCCAGGTTGTCTGCAAACCGCTGCATGGTAGGTAGCCTCCTTTTCGAAATGCAGCACGCGCATTTCCAATGCACAGGTCGCCCTTCGTGCCCAGACGTTACTGCTCAATGAGATGCTGTTCAAGCTTCGCCCCCATGAGGCCGCTGTACATGGTGTCAACTGGAGCAGGCGGGAGCTGCCAACCTGCAGGCAACGCGCATCTCAGCCCATCCCCACGCCCTCACTCGCATGCAGCCAACCTCTCTCTCGCTCGATAAAAAATAGATATGTATATATACATATATATATGTGTGTGTGTGTACATAAACATACATACATGCTTGCAGCTTGTCTGGCCTAACTGGTGGCCTCCCTATGTCTATCCCATAGCTACGGCTTGAGGCCCGTGGCGGAGCGGGGCTTGCCAGCTTCAGTTTCCAAGCATTCTCTTCCGTGCAGTGGTGACTTTCGGATTCGCTGGGAACTTGGGCGCAACCGGCAGTACCTGCAGTGGCTGCCTTGAACATCGTTTTCGGCTGTAGCGGTCAGAGCTCACGTCAGGACTCCAAGAATGGCTCCAAAAACCTTGACTATGTCGAACATCGGAGAATGAAGGATGTGGAGAGCAAGAACAGGAACACTGGTTGGATTCTGGCATGCACAGCACTGTACTCTGCAAGACAGCTCTATCCTCCATTCCGTGACTAGCACCAAGGATGCGATGGCCCACGGCTGACGCGCTTACGCGTTACGGCCAGATTAAAATGATGATGCAGAAGTTTGGGCAGGTAATTTCATGCTGAGGAGATTCCTGAGATGCTGAGAACGAAATCGTGACCTGGAACTAGACAACACCGGGAAACAGCCAGAACCAAACATTGTGAACTTGCGAACTTGTCAAGGCCTCCATAATATATATTAAAATGCATAAGGTTCCCTTGATTCCCCGGAACCCAGTATCTGAGCGCAGCTCTTCATTCTGGGCTTCATGGCTTGAATTGTTTGCCACTAGGAGTTCAAGGAAAGCTTCTCAATTCTTGCAAAAAGGTCAAGGCATCATGCGTTCCGACACTCTTTGCTCAAAGGAGAGATTTACCTAACGATTCAGCTGTAAAGACATTCTCAACGATGAATTTGCAGATTTGCTTGACATGGTTCCCCAAGCACCCAGACTTTCTTCTAGAAGTATGAGAACATTCGGCTAAAAGTACTCTACGGCAAAATTTCTCAAGTTCTAAACATCCGGTGGGTTCCTCGGAATCCAGGAAACCTCAATCTTTTCCTGCCATAGAGGCTTCTGCATTTGGTAGGTTTCACCTGCAGGCTGGAGTTCGAAACCCTTTGAATCCATTAAATTGTATGCGGGAGTAAACTCACTGGCTGAATTCCTGGGAACCCAAGTTGATTCTGAAAGAAACAGCTCAACTTTCGAGACCCGGTTCACGAAAGAATCTGCTATCTCTCTTCACATATATTTATACACATATGTTCTTCATCCTCGAGGAGTCTCCCGAATTCGGGCGGGAGTTGTCCCGCAAAAATGACTGGCATGCACGGGCATTCGGAAGCCCGAAATGGGTGAGTTGCCCACACAATCGGAGTTACTTTCAAAGACCGGAGCTCGGCCCCCTAAACCCTAAACCCTAAACCCTGAACCCTGAACCCTTCGAGAAAGAACGTGGGTCACAGGATCACGTGCTCCTCTCGCTCCAGGACCTGCAAAAAGGATGGGCGCCGCAACATCTTGCAAGGCTTTTCATCTGCATGTCGAAGCATGGCTCACTGAGGGTGCGGCCCAACACTGCCTGTAGTGCCGCCTGGTGACCTTTGCGGGCTTGGATTCGTCACATGGGGGTTTTCTGTCGGCCTCAACTCGGTGCCCGGCGCTCACAGATCGAGACCTCCCAAGCTGAGGTGCAGAGTATACCTTGACTTGAAGGGGTCGCGGCGATGCCAGCTTTCAAAGGTACCATGGACTGCGCCTCAGGGCCTCATGATGCCTCATGATGCCTCATGATGCCTCATGTCATCCTCATGTCTCCCCGTTTGCTGAGTTGGCGGCTGGTTGTGGGAGCGAGAGACCATGGACCGGTACCGGAAGTGTTGCCTTTGAAGTAAAGGAAGCTTCCAATCTTGATACCAGGAATGTGCCGAGGCTGAGTTGACCCTTGCAGTGACGTAAGGCTGAGACTCGGGAAGCTAAAATTGGGCTGCACGTTCCATCGGAAGCGAATCTTGTGACCTCCACGCGTGCTTGCTTCTACCACATGCCAAGACAGTAATGAAGTTACATCCCGGAATGAGGCGGGGCACCCGTGTCCGCATGGGAGGACTCCAGATTGGTGACACGGGCCAGGTTGCCTGGCCAAACCCATGCAGCATGCAGTAGCGATTTGCAGCATTTGGAGGCCCAGGGCGAAAGCTGTGCGATGCCTGCGACGGGCTTCCTCGTCCATCCAAACTCAAGACCTTGAGGCTGACACCAAAAGGGCTCTTGAATCAACTTCCGCAGAGAACAATGTAACAACTCAGGCGTCCACCCTGGATACTGGGCTGCCGCTTGCGGTCTTGATGCTTTGGCAGGCCTGGCACCAAACGCATGGAATGCACAGATGGAATGCTGCAAGCCACTGTCCACGTTAACTTGCCTCTGTTGGTGTAGAGGCCGTGCAGGTGGTGCAGGCTGTGCTCGTCGACATCGCAGTTTCCTCAGACCCAAGTGAACCGAACGAACGTTGGCACATCTCTAGCGTGGCAGCTTGCCTGGCAGCCGAGCTGACTCAGATCGTAGGTGCCCAGCATTCATACTCCGAGCAACTGGCTCTGAGGGCGAAGATGATGCAGATATCGGCCTCCACCTCAAGCAAAGACTCCGACCGGACAGCATCTGCCAGTGGTACTTCTCATTTGCTAGCACCTCCAGCTCGACTTCGAGGTGACGCCTGGTTTTGCGGGTTCGCCTGCGAAGATGAAAAGACATGAAAAGCCTGAGAAAGTACAAGAAGATGCGCGGCGTGCCAAAATATGCCAAACCCAGGGCAAGAGCTGGACCTTCCCTGCAAAGTCCGCCACGAGCTGAGATCTCATCTGAAGGCTTGGACTGCTTGGACTCACGTTGGGTGGCCGCCTCGGGCAACGAAGCCACATGAAACCACCCTTGACGAAGCGGAGCTCTATGTCGTCCCATGCAGCCAAGGATCTCGGAGCATGAGCTGGCTCATGGTCAGAAGGCTCTTCCGCGCCTCTGCGATCAACATCTCTTGGCTGGGCGGGGCCTGCGCCTCCGAGACACTTCGCAGCAGATGCTCACGGATACAGTCGCAGCATGTCACGGCCCGAGCTGGCTAGTCATAGAACCCTCGAGTGGCGAGTGCGGCGTGTCTCGCGAAAACAAGGTGACTTCGGGACGTTCGCCTGCATGAAAATGTTTCAGGATTCTTTTTGTACCTGGGAGTGGGGGGCGGGAGGTCCTTGAATTTTCAACCGGGTGCTTTGAGGGGGAGGTAGGTAGGTCGAACAATGCATTCCAATTGTGACTGCTGTCGTTCTTCCAGAAAGTGCAACAGGACCCCCGGTACCACGTCCCCGGATCGATGTCAAAAGCTTCCCAAAGCCCGGGTCTTTCTCAATTTTTAAAGATAGTCAGCTAAACGCTTCTCCCAAGTCAGGTTTGTCGCCACTCGTTCTCTCTGTGTCTCTCCTTCTCTCGTTTCCTCTCTCTCTCCGTCTCTCTCTCTCTCTCTCTCTCTCCCCCACGCATGACCCCCCCGAAGGGAGGCCGCCCCCAGGGGCGCGTGCTGGTCTCGGGTCTGTTGGTACATGACGTCCAACTCGTGTTGAGTGGACGTCCGGCTCATTGGCCAAAACACTCAGGAGTTAAGGGTTCTGCAAAAACTGCTACTGTTCGGCATCCCCCCTCTGTGCCTCCCGGTTTGCTCGATGGGTTTGGGGTTCAGACTCACTCAAACATCCTTTCGGGGCCGTACGCGCATGTACCCTCAAATCTCTCTCTCTCTCTCTCTCTCTCTCTCGAAGCCCATGGGATTCCCTACACTCCTAAGAAGACTGGGCTCAGGGTTTGCTGGATGTCTTGCACGGCACCAGTGCGAAGATCCCACTCGCATCTCACAGCATGGCATGCAACGCATGAAGATCCAGGTAAACATGCGCGCCGGAAATGTGCAGAGGTCGGCCTCAGGGAAGTCCACATCTTGAGCCAGGCTGATCAAGTCATAGCCTCGCTTTGCAGGACTCTCTGACAGGCAAGGATTCAAGGGCTCTCCAAGGGAGCATCTTTCGTTTGATGAACTCCACGGTCTGCAAGGCGATGGTTGGACATTGCTTGGTGCAACTGTTAGCTTTTGTCATCAAGACAACAAGCAGATTCCCACATTCGGCGGCGCATGTAAAGAAGACTTCTGGCTTTCTGAGCAGCAGTACTTTCTGACTTTCTGACAGCATTCCTCCATCGGTTTCCGGACGTTTTCTGCGGATCCAAACGACAAGGTGGGGTAGCCATTGTACATGGTTTGGCTCCTTCCTGGGGCAGCAGCAGCTTTTCATGGACCTGGTCTAGGTTAACAGACACCCTGAGGCTTGAATAGAGAGCATGTGAATCTGCATACGCTCAAACTTCAAGGAGCAAGCTGGAACTTCCTCAGATTCATCTGCTTCCACAGCTGCTGGTCATGAGTGCCGCCATGCAGCAAAGTTGGCGCAGGGACTCGTTCTCAGCGCGCGCGGTGGCCAGAGCATCCGCGTCGCCACAATCCATCAGAGCGCCTCCTTCCGAGGCCGGATCACCTGGCGGGGCACTAGCAGGATTGCGTGTCGTATCGTGACTTGAAGCACTCCAGACATGCGACCAAAATATTACCAGGCCACAGCATGTCCTCCACAGTGCGTCTTGACAAGACTCTAGACATGGGCCTTCAGGTACCGGCGCGATGGTCAGGCTGTTACAGGAGCCGAAGCCATCCTCCGAGCCAGGTGTCCCCGTCTGCTTATGCCACTGCCTACTAGTCCATTTAATCATTCTTTGGCCTCTGACGGTGTGGAAGGCTAACCGGAGCCCACAATTTCGAGGTGGAAACAACTCGTCTCTCTGGAAAGCTGTGGGCGCATGGCCCATCATGGCGCTATGATTGCCCAACCACAAAAAAGCATGATGGCAATCCGTCCTTGAACACCGGCCAAGTGCTCGGATCCAGCGAGGCAAGACCCCAAGATTCTTTTGTGATCCGACTTGCTCGGGGCGTGTCTGGTGGGCCTCCACATCTGCGGTATGAAGCTTCGGGACTCATCACAACAAGTGACTGCAAGAGGCACGTGCGTCGTACGGGTCACTGCCTTGAGCTTCCTGCGCCAGCTGCACTGGTGAAGGTTCCCTTGATTTGCTGGCTGGGTCTTCCGCATCAATAGGCCCCAGCCTTGCAACCGACGCTGCATCTGACACCTGCTCCTGCACATGCCTGCACACACCATGGACCTAAGCACCCGCACGGACACACCCCAAACAACCACCGAGCTGCGAAAGCGACAGTTGCGTCTGCGTTGTGGCATCCTTGTGAGAAGCGGCGCGCGCCCGTTGCACTGCTTGGGGGCTGCTCTTGGCCTTGGGCGTCCGTCGCCGCCAACATGCTTTCCAAAAGGTCTTCCCTTGCAATGCGCTGCCTGAGGGCCTGAATGCAACAAAAGATCCTTTGGCATGTAGCGGCTCCCAGCAGTTCGCACTGAAATTCGAGTAGTGCCCACACCTCCACCGGGGAGCCCTCTCGACGCAAGACTACGTGGCAAGAATTATGAGAAAGCACATGAAAGCACTAGACAAAACTAAGCGCCTGGTGCTTTCAGGTAGCGTGAGGCAGTTTGCGAAGCCATCGTGACAGCAGGCAAGCTACACACGGCTGGCCCTGCGAGGCAGACTAATTGCAGAAATGCATCTGGTGGAAAGCGAAAATTTTCCGTGACGACATGACAGCCTGCAACTGCAGTGGCCGGACAGGAGCCGTTGCTCTCGTCTTTTTCTGGCGCTTGGCAGGTATGCCGTGCGACGGGAAAGGTTTCTGATGCCACAGTCAATTAGGGCGCGGAGAAGAGATGGCTGGTATGAGTCATGAGAGCTGGTGCATGCTGGTACCTTCTCAACTCTTCCCTGATGTGCTGGGGATCGGTGGACATACCATCCTTCGAAGCCAGCTGCCAGCTGTCTCTGTGCCTTTTTGGTGGTGGCATAGTCACCGTTGTGCAACGGTGTGGCGTGCTGTCAACAGCCAAAATGGCTCTCTATGACTCGCTACTGCGCGCCCATCCCACGCTCTCCTTGCAGCCACTTCTCGTTTTATGGCTTGGTCTGCTGCCGTGAGCGCGAAAAGGGGGTGAAACGTTGCCACGCGCTGTGCGGTACGCGCACCGCGACAGGATGGGCTTGGATCATGTCAAGGCCTGGATAGGGAGCACATGCCGTCTGCGGAGTCTACAGGTTGTGCCCACCTGGCGCACCAGCTCACAGCCTCACGGCTTAGATGCCCAGCGCCGCCCTCTGCGCAAGAGCCTTGCACAAAAAAATCGGAAGATTGGCGTAAAGCGATGCCCAAAGGAGGCTTCAGGGTTGACGGAGGGGGTGTCTGAACAGCCATTGTGTCCCTGTGCGGTGTTGGCCTGGATCTCGCCGACTGCCTTGGGACAACTTCGCTTCAAGCAGAAGTCTATCAGAGTCGATCACTTCTATCACCCACCATGTCTTCACCTTGAGCTAACTCGCAAACTGCGTGCGTGCCTTTCGACCAAGGGCAGCAATGTCGGGGTCTCCCATTTTCATTGCATTGCCCACCTGCTTGCACTGCACAACCACGAAATGTCCAAAATCAACGAGTCAGCAAATTTCAGGGTATTCAATACCAGCACTCAGGGCAGCACATCTTTGCCAACCTTGCAGTTCTTGACTGCATCATAGGTCACCTTGCTCTCCTGCCAATTGCATGCCTTGTAGGCCCCCTGCTTCAGTGCAAAAGGTGGGACACAGCGGGTCCTTGAACATCCCTAGCAACGCTTCAAGGATCTCACCAACTTTCGGCTTGTCGCCTGCACAAGACATCAGCTTGCATCGCTGTATGTTCAAGAGGCTCTTGCCACAGACAACGTCCCCCCAACTCACGGAAGACCAGGCGCCCAAATGCAAAGCCTGCAGTCACGGCTTGCTGCAGATCTTTCTGCAGCTCCTGGCTTGCGCCGGGGATAGGGCCTACAGTGCCTACAGAGGCCTTGTGATAACCTTACCTTTTGGCACCGAGCAGCAACATCCAACTTGTCCGAAAGCTTTCAAGCTGTGAAGCACCCCTGCAAAATGCTGCACATGGCCTCTACAGTGCCAGCTCCCTTCTTCAGTGAGAGCTCGTTCTCAAGTCGGTTGATCCTCCACAAGTCGGAATCGGTCCCAAAAACCCCAGCTTCCCCTCTCGACGATGCATTCAGCAGCATTCCCTTTGATTGCCGTGCGCCCATCTTTTCTTGCACACACAACATAACGCATTCACGCTATAAGCTGGTATACGTATATGCCTGGATTTGTTGAGAGCAAGGCCTGCATGAGCTGAAGCTTGCCGACAGATACGCGAGAAAACGTGTTCTCCCATGGGTTTAAAGCTTACTCGGCCGGTTTAACTGACACTGCCAGTGTTCTTGCTGTCGGCATCAAGAGGAAGTGGTGCTTCGCAGCTCCGGAGCTCAACGAGCCAGCTCCGGCAAACCGGGACAGATCTGGACCAGCAAGTGCAAGGTCTAATCGACGGCTGTGTACTCGTCCTCACTGACACTTCCACTGCCGCAACTCGCTGAGCACAGTTCCTGGGCCAAGCCTTCGATTCAATCACGCCGTTTGAATTTTCTACCTATCCTCGCGCACTGGCGCAGTTCGAAGCTGATAGTCTGCATAGCCAACTTCGCAATATGATTACAAACCACATGGACCTGCTCGGCTAAGTTCCATGAAACTGTGCTCCTCACGCTCCGCAACGCACGTAAATGTCAGCAGGCTGACATTGAGAGCCTGGGCTCTGGATTCTGCGTATCTGGGCACGACACGGGATCAGGCCAAACTCAAGCCTGGATCCTTGCCAAGCAGACAGCATCGGCATCTCATGCAAGCGGGCTTTCACAACTCGGAAGTGTCTTGGGAGTCTTAAGGTGCCCTGGGGCCCTGGGGAAGAGTAGAATAAAGTGAAAGCCAGTTCTTCATGGCGATCACCGGCAGTTGTGGCAGAGACGAGTATCACCTGCCTTTGGAATGCTGCCAGTAATGACACGGTGCTCTGGCAGACAACTATTTCCCAGCCACAGCCAAGCACGTTGAGGCCTTGCATTCATGGCTTAAGTCTTATGATGCCAGACCAAAACTCTGCTGCGGAAGGCTTCGCGTGGTTTTCTACTACATGGAACTACACAAGCTGTTGCAGGCTCAACATATCGACCCATCGCGGCCCCATAGGTCCAGCCGAAAGTGTACTTAGAGGAATGTATTGCATTCTCTCTTCTCCTGCACCAGCATGTCTCCAGATATCTTCGGCGGCAAAAGCTCTTAGCGTGGGAAGACTGGTCGACAAGCAGCTAAAGTACGGTGCTTCGATCATACGATGTCTGGGAATATCTTGGAGTCTCGATGGCTCTTGTCAAACACCGACCAGACCTCCATCACCGGAGGTAGCTGCAGAAAGCTTAAGCTTCAGAAGCGCTGTGAACGTTTCTTCCTGCAAAGCAACTTTGAGGCAACACATCGATCAAGCGAGGCCTCAACAAACTAGCTCCAAGAAATCCGTGGACCCTTCTGGAGCCCAAAGTTTGTGCACAACACATGAAAACCTCCTACGGGACCCCTGTCAGTTCTCACACACAGAAGCATCGCAACCAGGTTGCAACATCTTGAACGCCCTTTTTGCTAAACCCTAAACTCTCAACCCGAAACCCTAAACTCTAAACCCTAAACCCGAAACCCTATACCTAAACCCTAAACCCTAAAACCCTAAACCCCAGAAACCATTGTGCGGCGGAGCTTCCAGCGCAGTGGTGGACCCGGGCAACTCTCTGGTTCAGTGCCTCAGGGAGACGGAAAGAATGGAAGACATTGACATAACCCTAAACCCTAAACTGTAAACCCTAGACCCTGAACCCTGAACCCTAAACAGAATACGCTGTCCCTTGAAATTCCAGGGTTCTAGGAGCAGGATATGTTTGGGCCACTGGGCCATTCACTATTTGTGACTCATGTTCAAGTCATCTGATTTCAATCGCAAGGAATATTGGGAGATGATGAAGGACAGACAGCTATTGGGACAGGAGGTGCGCCAACAACAATACATATTAAAAATGGCGGCCAGTTTCTTTACTCTGGTTAGGGCTAGTTTTATTCATCGTTGTAATGCAACAACGGCTTTTGACTTTAAAGGCGATCTCGTTTTCAAAGTGAATATAGACCTGATCGGATCACACCCTTACTAGCTTCCCCAAGTTTAAAATGTAAACATGTGAAAGGAGTTGGCTAGTGGATTTGAGGGTTCCTTTTGAATTCTTAAATACGTGCCACGACTTCTTAAAAAGCCGGCAATATTGGAAGCCTCACCCCACTTCAAAATGCAAGTCATGTTGTTGAAAAGGCCGGGAGCATTGGAAGAAAATAAAGTACAGCTACTGAAACAACCGATGCGCCAACAAGAAGAGCTATCATAATCGGGGCCACTTTCAGATGTTGTAATTCGGGCGAGTGCTACCCAGTGAAGAACTCTGACAATCGGCCTAGCTTCTTGCGCTGTCGCTAGGGCGTACTATGGAAAGATGGAGCATGGGGATGTCCCCCTTATACTGACAGTCCTTAGAAGGGACTATAGTAGGGGGTATTAGCATCCCCATTAAGGACTGTTAGTATAAGGGGGAACATCTCAACTGAGCTATGCTAACAACGACAAGAAAATTTCCGTCTCGAGCACCGAAGCTTAATGAGCCCATTGGTTGTCCCAAGGGTTTAGGGTTTAGGGTTCAGGGTCATTCTGATTTCATCTCTTCTGGGCGCTCCTCAAATGAGTTAGATGAGCTACAAGCTTGCCCCCGCATATTGGAGGTCAGCTTTACATGCAAATCGTAAGCCACATTAATTACCTCATAACCCAGTGGACTTTGACACATAATGTGATAAAGCGAGATCTCAGCCCCAAACTCCCTGTATTTGAACTCAGTGTAAATAGTGATACCTCCTACTTCTTACTCCTCTTAACGCTCAATGTTGCTTGTTGGGGGAAGGGGTAAGCTTGTGTAAAAGCAGGCCCCGCTTTTCGTCTCGAGGTATTGGTTTTGCGCTCAGGACACTCCTTGTTTTTGTTATTCTTTCATTTCTTGCTTTGGGGCTAAAAACACCAGGAGGCATCATCGGCTTTGGGTTTTCGAAATAAATCGTGTTTTCATCGCGCGTTGACGCAGTTTGGAGACGACGGGAAGATGCAGGAGGGCAAACGCGCTGACAGTGTTCCATAGTGTTCCTGCTACAAGCCCAACTTCCGCCGAGGTTCCCGAAGCAGCTTGTGCTGCATGAAGTGGCGCTTTGACCCACGTTTAAATCTCTTTGGCACCAGCCAGAGTGCCTCAGCTGTCAACCGCGAACGAGGACTGACCTGGCCTGAAAGCCACCTACGCACACCTCTGTTGACCCGCGTGAAGAGAATGCCGCTGAGAGCGCAGCACTGCACATCGGCCGGGCGGAAACGAAGCTAGCGCAAGGGATGCAGCCCCTCCAAAAACACACCCTGTACATCTGACTTCCCCAAACTTCGGAATGTTAGATTTCTAGCTACTGGACGCTGGATAAGGCCGCATCCCTCAACTCTATGGTGCGGCATCAGGGAAGTGGACGCAAAGGCCCAGGGACATCCTTGGCTGAACTCTGCTGCAGCAAAGCAACTCTGCATGATTCTTTGACGGAATCCCACAAGTTGCCCACAAGGGGCAGGATGGGAAGTGGGATTCAGAAGCCACTAGGCCATGCCATGTCAAATTCTTGAGATTTCGGATGGACCTAGTTAGCCAGAGCTTCCGGCACGAACCTGCCCAGGCTTCCCCTCGAAACCTCCAGTTGCAAGAAGGTGGCTCTTTCCGATTTTGTCAACTATTCAGTTGAAGGCTCGGTGGCGAACCTCGGCTCCAGAAGAAACTGGGGCTTGCCTTAGAACCTTAACAAAAAGAACATGTTTAACATCCTCTGGGGTTTATTATAAACCAAAATAAGAAGTAATTCTCAAGGGGGATAAAGGAAACTGGGGCTTGCTAGGGCAACAAGGGCAACAAGGGCGTCAAGAACGATTTTTCCTGCCTCGGATCTGGCGCAATTCCCAAAACATGGCCGAAGACCAAGGGCAGGCTTAGAGTGCACGCTTCTACGCTTGTACACAACAAGTCTTTGGCTTTGGAGCCACCGGAGCTTCGGACGTCCTCCGGCGTCCTCCGGCCCTACAAGACTTTCGAACAACCGGAGCTCAGCTGCGGACCGCACCCAAAAGCGAAGACAAAGGTCTGCACTTTGAAACGAGCATGCGCACGAGAGGCCGGAGCACGACGAGGTTCAAAAAGCCCCCCTCTTAGACTCTTCGACTCCTAGACTGGGTGAACGAAGGGCGAAGATGAGCAAAGCCATCCACGAGCCCTCGAAGCAGGAAAGTACCCTGCCACATTTTCGCGACGGCATTTGCATCTGGCGATGCAAGCACCAAGAAGTGCATGGTGACCTGTGGGAGCTCTGGAGTCTGCTTTCACCTGCGGCGCCTGGCCCTGCTCACATTTGAGAACCCCCTTGTGGTGTTTTCTCACCCTGTTCAGGTAAAGATGGAGACTGCCCAAAGACCGCAAACAACGCGCCCTTCCTGTGCCTGTGAGCTTGGAATGTTCACAGAGCGGCTCTGCATAATGTGTTTTTGCGCCAGGCGGCGAAGGCGTCATGGCCGTCGCCTGGAGCAATGCGTTCGAGCATTTTCAAGGTGCTGCTAGGCGGGCGGCAAGATAAGCTCCTGGCCACCATCAGCTGCTGCTGGAGCTGAAGCTGCAGCTGCAAGTCCACCAGCCGCTGTTGCCTCGCCAAAGACGACACACCCTCGAAGCAAAGTGGACACAACACTACACCTTGGCAACTGTGTGCAGTCATCCTACTGTATCACTTCTCATCGCGCTGAAGCAGCTTAGTCGCTGTTGTTCGATGATGTGTTGCTGCAGCGCCAAGGTGTCTGTGATCTGCCTGGATGCAAAAGCACACTCACACATCAGTTGAGAGTAGACGAGGCATTGCAGTCTCGATTTCAACAGAAAATACCCAGGCCTAACATCTTTGGGCACGGAGCGGAGCTTTGCCGCTTCCTAGGGTTCCAGGTGAGCTCAAAGCGCGCG